GAGCAGCCTGGACAACATGGAAAATCCCGTCTTTACAAAAAAAAAGGCGAACTAGTCAGGTGTGGTAGCATGTCCTGTAGTCCTGGCTACTCAGGAGGCTGAGGTGGGAGGATCACTTGAGCCAGGCAGGTCAATACTAAGGTGAATTGCTCCATTACACTCCAGCCTGGATGACAGAATGAGACCCTGTTTTAAACAAACAAAAAGGAAACTAAAAGCAGTATTTTTTCTATTATCTTCACTATATACATAAAGTGAGCAAAACTATGACTTGTAGAGACATTTATTTTATTGTATGTCGACATCATACGTTACTTGAAATTCAGAACAAAAAATAATTCTATGAAGGAACCAAAACAAAACAATTCAAGCAAGAGGTTTCAAAGTGCTGATCTAATGCAGAGGAAGATGATAGCATCCAAGTGTGGGATCAGAATGGCATGCTATCCATATCTGTCACTCATGGAATCTCCCTCACTGATGGCAGATATTTTTAAGTCATTGTTAAATCCTTTTGCCTGGATTCACATGTGGTCCCAGGGAACCACTGCCAGTGAGTTGGGCATGGCATGAGCGAAGAATCCTAGATACCAACAGTTAATTGAAGACACGGATGTTCAGACAGTACTCTATACATGTTATTTTTCTTGATTGACCTCAGATATACAATGGGCAACAGTGACAAATACCCATTGTGCAGCTATTTGAGATTGCCTTTTAAGTAAGGATTCTAAAGTTTTAACAGTAGTAATTTGTGGGTGGAAATGGTTCTCTCTTTCTAAACTGTGATAGCCTGAATGACAAGATAAATGCTTTTGTATAAAGCCACTCCAACATTGCTCCCAGGCATAATAAGGAAGTAGTTTCAATACAATACCTTAAAATCCCATAAAGTGAATTTTTTAGGGGGTGAATGGTGGGAGAAATTGACTGAAAATATTCAAAAAGTCAGATGTAAGTGGAAAATCAATCAAGAATAGCTAAGAGACTCTTGAAGAAGAAAAAGAAGAAAGCGGAAGAATTACATTTAAGATATAAAGAACTATAATAACACTACATCAATGATGTTAGTATAATATTAACATAAGAATTGAAAAATTAATAAATGGAGCAACATAGAGTCCAGTATTCATATGTATATGGTTATCTGATTTGTGATCAAGGTGATGGCCTTGCAGGGTAGTGAGAAAAGGTAATATTTTATGAAATGGTGCTGGGTCAAGTGACTATCCACGTAGAAAAATGCAATCTTTGCCCCTACCTCAAACTGAACACAAAAATTATTTCCACACGAATTATAGACCTAAATTAGAAAGGTAAAAAAATCAAGATTTTAGGAAAATGTATGGGATAACTACCAGATCTTGCAGTGATAAATATATCTTAAAGTGGACACTAGCCACACAGAACAAAAATGATAAATTAGATTGCATTTAAATTAAAAATTATTCTCTTTATCAAAAGTCACCATTAAGGGAGGGAAAGGGAAGTTGGGTGGCAGAAGGTATTTGTTATATATATAGCCCCATAAAGAATCACATCCAGAATATATTTTAAAATTCTAAAATTCAGTAAGAAAACGCAGACAATCCAATTCAAAAATGGGCCAAAGACATTAAAATATAAAACTTACATTAGTCATCAATTACATACCTACTAGAATGGGTAAACTTTAGAGAGGGGAAAAAAAAAGACAATAAGTGCTGACAAGGATGTGAAGCAATGAAATCTCATACACTGCTTGATAAAAGAAGGCAAGGACTGGGCTGAGCTCAGTGAAGTGCTTAAGGCACAAAATGTAAGGTGGCACTTATTCTCTGGGTCATGCAAATACCAAGTATAAATTGGCACAACTACTCATAAAAATTGTTCGTTGTATATACCAAAGCATAAGCTCTGATCCAACAACTCTTCTTGGTGTATACCCAAATAAATGTCATATAGTCAACAAAAAACAAGTAAATAAATGTTTATAGGAGCATTGCTTATAGTAACCAGGACACTTCAAACTTCTATCAGTGGAAGAATTAATATGGAATTGATGGCATATTAGTAAAATGGAATACACTATAGAGCAGTGAGAATTTTGAACTACAACTATAAAAAGTAAACATGAATGAATCTTATAACACAATGTAAAGTTAGAGAAACCAGATACAAAGAAATATATATTGAATGATTATATTTACATGCATGTCAAACACAGGTAAAACCAATCTATTGCATTAGGAGTCAGCATACCTGTCATATCGTGAAAAATCCATTGATTTATACACCTACTTTTAATATACTTTTTGTATATGTGTTCAACTAAATATGTGTGTATATGTTCAGTTATGTATATGTTCAATGTGAATGTATATGTTCCATATTTCGGTTTACACAAAATAAAATAATAAATCATATTAGAAACAATTAAATAGGAACTAGATGGAGGGAGTCTTTGAAAGTCTGAAAGTGATGGATATTTAGCATGTCTCTACACAGAATGCCAGGACTAGTAAGGCCTTATATGACTGGTGACATTCACATGATCCCAAACAGTTTCATGCTATCTCCATATTTACGGGGGTTCATCTACATAGCTCTTCCACAGACATCCTTGTCATCAAATTTTCACACTTGATTCTTCGAAGTTCCCATCTATCCTCAGCTGAAAATAAGCAATCATGCCTATTAATAGCTTAATAAACTTGGATATTACATATTGTTTATTCATAGTCTTTTTGCTTTTTTTCAAATTGTGTACTTTGTTTTCAAATTGTCCAATTTAAAAATCACAGTCTGATGTATAGAATGTGAAGGAGAAAAATAATATGTGTGAAATTCATTCTAAACATATAAGAACAGATTTATACCAAAAATCAAACGAAAACTACAAGGACAGTGGAAAAACACACATGTCAGTTTTAAACCAACAGCTTTCTATACAATATAATGGAAAATAAGCATCTGATATTTTGCGTAATATTCAATACAGTAGCACCCTGTGGTTTACTAATATTTAGATAAAACCAACTTAGAATTACCATCAGGGAGGCATGCCCATAAATCTAAGGTGGCCTGGGATATCAAAATACTGTCTTTATTATTGGCATGATAATTTAAAGTAGATTTAAAAAGTCAAATTCGGGCATAAAAAAAGAAGGCACTAAGAGATTCTTCAGGAGTAACAAGGAGAACAAACAGATGTAGGAAGTAAAAATACAAGTACAGCCAATCAAGGAACCAAGATTGGAGAGGGTTGATGTTGTGTATAACTCATGTAAATCAAACTATCTGTGTTTGAGAAAATATAGTCATTTTACTCCTTGACATAGTTTCCTGTAACCATTAATCAATCGGCAAATGAACTCAGTGTTAAGGAAATTAAGTTGTTCTATCTCCTCCACCCATCTTATACTGGTCCTAAGACTGGAAGATGAGATCGCTCAGTTTCTAAGCAACACTCTTGAGTTGATCTGGGATTGCAGCCTATGACAGCCTACTAGAATAAGGGAATAGTCTCCCTCCTTTTCACAGCAGTCAGGGAGAATAAATCCATTTGGTATAAAGAGTGAAGAAAGACACTGTCAAGGAAGACATCTGGGCCTGTGTAAATCAAACATACCATTCACTCCTCCTGATCTTGTTGCTGAAATACAAGACTCCCAGGAGATAGATTACTTGAAAAATCCAGTGCTCCAAAAATGACTCTCCAAAATTAGAAAATTATTATGCAGCCCAGGATTAGATATGGATAACTGTTTTATACTATATTTTATAGTTTATCTTACCAAAGAAATTATCCACATATCATTTCTCTTTCTCTTTTGTTGTCTAATAGTTGATACCACATTATAAATTGGCTGCATCAAGTTTTAAAGGCCAGGATTAATTTTTTTTGTCATATTCTCTTCGTATAGCCTATTTCCTGGCACAGAACAAGTGCTAAATAAATATTTGTTTAATTAATACTTTTGACTATTGAAAAAGTCTACATTTGAATAATTTGTTACATATTATAATAATGATTTATCAGAATATTAGGTTTTAAAAGATTGCTATTTTTGAATTTAATATAGGATCCAGTGGAAGAACCAGCCAATATTTTTTATTGTGTCCTATGTTAGAAAGATAAAATTTATTTTTGTTTTATTCCAGGAAAGGATGAAAGGAAATTTTTATTTCGATGTTAATTATTTATTTTTAAGTGACTTCTATTTTACTTTATCCCACTGAAAAAGTATTTTTTTATACTAGAAAATTTTATAAGCATTTTAGCATTTATAAGTGAATATCTCTACGCACAACTCATTATATCTATGACTCTTGATGCAGGTAAATTTTAAATAAAGGAGTGTTTTGAAAAACAGTGCTAATAACCAAAGTGCTGCTGCCACAAAATGAGGCTCCAAAGGCCAGGGCCGAAAGCTGCTTTTGATTTCAGTAGCTGAGGCCGGAGCTGGGCAGATAGCCTGCAGCAGTAAGCAGAGAGAGAAGGAGTCCTTTGCAGCTGCTGTGTCAGTGCTGAGAGAGACGTTCTTACCTTCCTGTCTCTATAGCCAGCTCTGTTTGACTGGAATTCTCTCCAGGCTTTTGAAGCAATGTAGCCTTTTCTTGTTCCCTCTGAGAACAGTCTGAAGGGCTTTTTTCCCCCCTTCAATATGTCACCCATAGTTGTGAGAAAGCGGCAGAGCCGTGGCTTCTTAATACTTACGAGACACATCTCTTTGACAGTTTTCTGCCTGATAAATCCTTAACATTTCCTATGGGTGAAAATCATAGGAACATGTGTGAGGGGAAGAAAATGATTTCACTGTTATTTTACTTTTTATAGACGGAAAACTCTGCTCTACCAGCCCATTTATATTCAGACCATCGCAGACCAGAATTCTCTGGGCTAATTATTTTGTTCCCGAGTGGAAAATAGATATTAGAATTTTTTTAGGATGCAACGAACGAATGGTTCCATAGTTACAGAATGTACACTTGACCCCTGCTAATTGTTTTAAATATATGTTCCATTGTTTCCGAGGGACTAAGTCGGATCAAAATGGAGTTGTTCTTAAGGAACCATGATAATTCTGGCTTAACACACTGATGTCTAGGCCACCCACGGGTCCAGGCACAATACGGACAAAATAAATGTTTGGGAGAGGAAAAATCATTACAAAATGATGGCGCCTGCCAGGCAGGTAAGCAAACCTCACATACCAGCTGACTGGATGAAGGAAGTGTGATTATATGAACCTCAGGGTTTTGTTTTGATTTTGTTAACGCAGGCTGACAGGAGCCACAGTCTTCTCAGTAAATGCAGTGAACCGTAGACATATATGCTAGGGGCAACTCTGGGAAGAGTATGATATCATCAACACAAATGCATCACCCCAGAGAACACAAATGTGTACATTGCCTTTTCACGGTGGGTCAAAGGCACTACCCTTGGTATGAGTATACAACATTAGTTTCAGTTATATAGTTTACAGCAGTGAAAAAAGTAACACAATTAACCTGAAAAGGTTAATGGTTTTTATTTTTCCACTCATAATTTGAAACATTCATCTCCCTTGTAGAAATCATGGTAATAAAGAGTGAGTAGAAAATCTGAAGTTATAGCTCAAAAGTTCAATAAGCTTCTAAGAGCACTTAATGCTCAAACAGCCTAAAAGTGTTTTTATGGAGATCAATGGGCAATTCACTCTTCAGTCGCATTTTTTTTCTGTGAAGTGAAATGGTTGTATATTTCACCATAATATTTAAGACACAAAAATATTAGTTAAGATCTGTACACTGAAAAAGTCTTTCAACGCTCAGAGTACCTAGTAGGTGGACGTTGATGTAGGTGGTTATAAAGGGACTTGGATCTTTGGTGTCTCTTATAGGTCCAATGCTGAGTAAAACAAATTTTAAATTAATACTGCAAATTTCAAAAAGGCACATATTTAAGAGAGAAGAGAGAGGTGGCTACCCTCTAGAGGTGCTCACTTACAGAAATTCCATTTGTACACATGGCACTCAGCTGTGAAGGCTCAGAAATGTGATGATTTTTGGACCCTGAATCAGTGTCTTTGGAGGATTAAGTTAAGCTAACCACACTCACAAGACAACCAAGTGAGACCTAATTATTATTAAATAAAACATATAGCTATCAGGAGGACAGAATACTTCTATTTACTTACTGATTAGCATATCCCTTCCCTATAGGCAAATTAGATTATAATTATATGATTTCACAGTCAACATGGGAATAAAGCAAGAGCAATTAATTGGATGTTTTATTGCCTAATGTTACCAAGCCCTGAGAGCGTGAAGCAGTCATGTCAACACAGAGACAGCAACAGTTGCTCACGGGTGGAAGCTTGGGCTCATATGGAAAGTCCCTGACTCACTTCCAAAGGTATAAAGATAAATAAATAAGTTGATCGTGTTCAGCATGCTGTGTTAAATCTGAACATGCATCCTGTTAAAGTGCTAGGTTGTATGTTGCATTCATAAATAGTGCCTGTGCCTAGCATACTTCTTTGAACAGAGCTGTAGGAAGTTTCCATTTCTCTAGAGGATTTTGAGACTCCCAGGTCTTGAAACATCTGTAACCATACAGAATAGCAATTCTCAACATATTTGGCCTCAGAACTCCTTTATACGCCTAAATATTTTCGGAAATTCCAAAGAGGTATTATTGATTTGGATTAAATCAATCAATATCCAAAAATTAGAAATTAAAACTAAAACAAACTTTATCAATTTATTTTTTTAAGTAATAGACCCCCAACATGTTAACATGAATAATGCATTTTTTAAAAAGCTCTCTTTAAAAAAATGGTAAGTAGTATGGTATTATTTTTCACTTTTGTAATCCTTGTTAATGTCTGACAATAGAAGACAACTGTCTTTATGCTTCTGCATTTAATACATTGTGATATCACATATACTGTAGTCTTTGAGAAAATATTTGGTACAACGTGAGAGAAAAAAATGAAGAAGGCAAATGGCCACGTGCAATTATTGTTTACATCATTTTGATCTCAGGAACTCCATGGAAATGTTCCAAGGATCCCTAAAGGTCTACAGCTCTCTCTTTGGGAGCTGTCACCATAGAGAATTAAGGTTTTTCCCTCTGCCTCTTCTCTGCCTTCATCACTAAAGCTAAGTTATTCGTTGTTTGCTGCCATTCAGTGAACCAGTCATATACACAATTATGAGGCCTTTCAATTAAAACTGCGGCCTGTTAAAGCCAAATGGTCGACAATATAGATGAAATAACAAAGAATTATCTGGGCATATGTTCAAGGATATAAATTGGGCTGAAGTCATATGAAAACAAGAAAATTTTAAGAGACAGTTTGCGAGAACTGGAGAAATTCATTGAGATATGGAGACTTAGGGGAGACAGAAACCCATGCAAGTCGTGAACTGATTTTTGTGTTGTTTGTTTGTTTGTTTTTGTTTTGTGTTGTTTTGTTTTGTTTTTGAGACAGAGTCTCATGCTATCACCCTGGTTGGAGTGCAGTGGCAGCAGCGTGATCTTGGCTCACTGCAACCTCCCCCTCCCAGGTTCAAGTGATTCTTCTGCCTCAACCTCCCAAGTAGCTGAGATTACAGATGCCCACCACGATGCCCTGCTAATTTTTGTATTTTCAGTAGAGAAAGGGTTTCAGCAGGTTGACCAGGCTGGTCTCGAACTCCTGACCTCAAGTGATGCACCCGCCTGGGCCCCCCAAAGAGCTGGGATTACAGGCTCCAACCATCGCACCCAGCCTGGTTTTTAAATACTTGGACAGTGGATTCTAGCCTAACCCTATGTTCTAGGGTTTAGCACTATCACACTCATGCTAGTTGACATTGGTTTAGCTTAGTTTCCATTTCTCAATTCTGAGTTTAAAAAAATAGCTCCGTTTTTTCCAAAGTTCATTTTTTTAATATAAAACTTTTCTCAGGTTTTCTATTTTTGCCCATATTCTTTTTCAAAATTCTTTTTATACACTTTCCATAATCTGGTTTTTCTAATATTGTGACTAAAATCTTCCCCTAAATCTTGGTCAGCTAGGTATATGATAAGAAATTCTGAAGCTAACCAGTACCCACCTGGGCCACCTTCCACTCTGCAACTCTCAGCAACGCTTGTTAGTAATTCCTGAGGTATCTCACCACCATGTCTCAGCTCATGACTAACCCCAGATTTGTCATTGTCCTATTGACAAAAGGTTAAGAAAGGTTAATAACAGGAGATTGAACTTTCTCAGAAGTATTCACGTACTCTGTCCTATCTCTGGTCCATTCTAAGTGATGGGGTCATATTCAACAGAGTCCCAGGATGAACTCCAGATGGGTGAGTATACCATTAGCACACCAGTTCCTTGAGAAAACATGTTTACTAATATGATTGGACAAAACAGAGTCATTTGGAACATTTTATCTGGAAAAATTTAGCTTTAGTTTTTATATTATATTACCTTGGGATTCAGAAACCCAAGGAAATATAATAGTAAGGTAACAAAGGGAACAATAATTCTTCTCAGATCCCTGGTATCTCAGAGGATGCTGTTCTTTAATACTTGTGTTTCTGCCTGATAAAATCCCTAAAGTAATATTCTATGGTGACCTAAGGCTTCCCATTTTCTATCTACTAATGCGATAATTAGAGTCTCCCCAAAATGTTTTGTATTTTAATCATCAAACTTGATTAACATTAATTCATCATTAGAAGAGGTTTTGATTGATGCATACTATAGAAAGAAATTTAAGAGCTGATTTTTTTTTTCACCTGGAATTCATGATGCAAATTTATTACGTCCAGAATAGTGCTTCACTGAGTGATACGAAGTAACTTTAAGCGCCAGGAGTCTGTTCTAGAACTCCCCAGACACTCTGTATTTAAGGTTCTTCATTTTGCAGCATAGAAATTTCTATCACATTTTAAAATTAAAATAATGTTTCACGCTTTAAGTCCAAATCAGGAGTAGAATCACAATATATACTTTCCACTGGAGATTTTGTCTTCTAAGTCACTTTTGATGTAAAAACATTTCCTAGTGAGATGTTTGTCTATATGTCATATGAGTGAAGATACTATATAAATTGATTAGGCAGGCTGAATAAAATGTAATACTTTCTAACATTTAATAGAGCTTCGCTGGTGCTGATTTCCTTGGAATCTCTGAACAGATCAGTATTTTCCCATTTGAGCTGTGCAGAAGAGTAAGACTTTCTGGGTGTGCAGCCAACTTTTGTTGTTTCTGGCTTCCTAGCTTCCAGGACCCACTTGTAACAGCATCAGATTTTCTTCTGGGACATTATATCTCCCACACTGTGCACCCTACAGATAATGGAACAATAAAACTGGGTGTTTGTTGTTTCTTCCCTTCATAGAAGTCAAAGGAATGCCTGGAAGTTCCTTATATCAGATTCTGTCTCCAAATATCAATCTTGACTTTAGCTTCAAGCATTTTAGCAGTGGATATCAGGTGGCCAGCTTTCTCTATGTCCCCCTTATTCTTGTCTGTTCTAAGTCTGGTTTTCGGTTTTTATTTTTATTCTTGGATTTTGTTGTTTATCTTGCACGCAGTCTTGTTCTTTCAAAAAATTCAATTTCTGGTTGTCAGTTAGGGTCATTCTTTGTTACTTGCAAGTAAATAACCCTCAATTACATAGGAGGAAAAGCAACAACAATTTTTTTTTTTTACTATAAATATTGTTTCTTAGATATTTTTAGTCCACTCCAAAGACAACATAATTTAATTGTAATGTGTCTAAACTATCTACCAAAGTATGTAATTGTTTCCCTCCCTTCCTAGTGTTTCAGCAGAAATTCAAAGATGAAAACAAAATGGTAACTGCCAAGTACTCTGTATCATAAAGAAGATGCTATATCATCTATACAGCCAGTGTCAAACCACTGTGAAAATAGTTGTGCCTAGGTTGCCCAGTATGCCTGCCTCCAGACTGTATATGGGAGTTGACGAACCTGGAGTGTGGGGAATATTTCAGAGACAGATGTCAGTCTCTTTTACATTATATTTCCTTGGGTTTCTGAACCCCAAGGTAATATAATATAAAAACTAAAGCTATACACATGCACACACACATGCATACACACACATGTACACACATACACACAAAAGGGTGGTAGTTTTTCTTCTATCACCACAGGCAAAGAGAACATGCTTTAGAAGTACTTCTTAGAGAGCTTGTAAATGTTCTCTGGAATTTGGGAGACAGAAAGACTGGAATGTATCTATATGATATATATGGCATATAGGATAACCATATGTAGCAAAAATAGATACAGATACATAGATATATGAGAGTAAATAAATTAGAAAGTTGTTTATCTAGAAATTGTAGATTGGGTAAATAATAACTATTCTACTCTCACAAAAGGACACTGTTCAGCTATTAATATTAAAATTATGGTACATTTACATTTATTCATAGATACTCATAAAATATTTGTAAGTAACAATAATCAACTATTTGTGCTGCATATTCATAATATATATACAAATAATAATTACAGAAAAATAATGGAAGACAACAAACTAAAATGATAGTATAAATTGTCTCTTGTTTTTATCTCACATAGTTATTCTCTTATTTTGTTTATCCAAATTTTTAAATTTTTGATTTTTCTATATAAATATGTGTAAAATAAACACGGGTATCTTTCAAAGTGATTAAAGTTTTTAAAATAATCTGTATTGTTATATCAGCAGCACAAAAGTGCATCAACACAGAGAAAGGATTGAAGTTTTCTAAATCCTAATCTGAAACATCGCTTCTGATAAATAAAATCATAGTGCATGTGAAGCTTTGGAATTAAACAGCCGAGGCTTGGTTTATGGCTCTCAATTTCTAAAGGAGTTTGGGAAGCACCAATCTAAGGCTTCACTTAAAAGTTTTAAAAATTTAATAAAAAAAAAAATCATTCCTCACAAAGTACTTGGAACTCCTAAGGATGTCATTGAAATCCTAAATAGTTAAAATATTGAGTAGTTTTAAGGTATATTTGTGGATTTAAATGTCTTATTGAATGTGCTAACTTGCATCAGGGTCTTTTACGTGTTCAGAAAAATAGAGGATAGAATTTCAGTTTACACTGAAGTAATGACTACAAATGCTTTAAATGAATGCATTAACAAATCCAAAATAATCAGGACATTTATTCCATTAAAATGTCTTTTAAATACCTTTTTAAGGAAATGATTGGCCTTAACGTAACAATTGTTTAGTACTACCTATTGTGAAAAGAAACATGTGGCTCCTGTTAAAATTAAATGTCATAATTTATTTTCAGTCTCTCAGTTTTCTCCACCGAAAACTTTAAATCACTTTTAATAAACTACCTTGAAAATGTAACGCCATTCCAAAATCACACTTGGCTTTTACATTGATTTGTTG